CAGAGGCAAAATGAATCGAATAATCTGTTTGTTGCCAACTCTTTGTGAGGTCTCTGCACCAATTATAACCTTGTTGTATTCTCGGACACCACTATAAATTAGAAACAAATATTATTTTCTATACTTCTTTAAAAAAGAGAGTAGTGGTAGTAACGAGTGCATCTGTCACCAGTCCACCATCCTACCACCAATTCCCTAAAGTTCTGTCCATCCTCTCTCCAAATAGCTGCATATCGTTTGAACTCTGAATGATAGTAGCTACTAATTGAGTCCGCTTAAAAATTTTTAGGCAAAAAATATAAAAAGACAAAAAGAAACATCAAACTAATTCTGAAATTAAGCTATAATATTTGAAATATATTTTTTATGTGCAATATGATGATGTGATTATTTTATAAAATTCCGTAATAATGTTTGGGCATTCTGCTGGTAGAGTTTACAAAATATAGAAATGATTGTTGAGTTATATGCTGTAGATACAGAACCGATCTGTTGGTTTGACCGTTGTGGCTACGCTGTTTCAAGTCATGTATCTTAATTTTCAAACTGTTGAACGGTGTGTTTCATACATAATTTTTCTATGTAGGAAGTTCTAGAAAGACCATATTAATCTATTTTCAAGTCTAAAATATTAATGTTCAACTAATTATGTGCTAATGGCTTATCTCATTTTACTTGCCACTGAGAGTCTTGGCAAAACAATCAACCTGACATGCAACAGAACAAGATAAGCCTGTTTCTGTTTGGATCAGAGACTAAAAATTTAGTCCTGTCACATTGGATGTTTGGACACTAATTAGAAGTATTAAATGTAGACTAATAATAAAATCTATTCCATTACCCTAGACTAATTCGCGAGACGAAACTATTGAGTCTGATTAAACTATGATTAGCATCGCATAGGCTAATCATGGAATAATCAGACTCAATAGATTCGTAATTAGATTTCATACTACTTCTACAGTGAAAGATAGAATATTCTAAAAAAATACACCAAAATTGACATATTGGGTGGAAGTTCACTCTTTATTACCATCTCTGGTTTTTTTATGCCGTTGAACTTTTCATGTAGCATTGAACTATTTATTTTATTAAAAAATTAGTATAAATAAATATATAAAAGTATAAGTCAAGATTATAGTTTTTTTTATGTTGAAGCAAATCAGAACAAAATAAATAATATTTATATATTTTTTAATAAGATAAATGATCAAACATCACGTTAAAAGTCAAAGTCAAAGGTATCATAAAATACAACGTAGGGAGTAATTTGCTTCACACAAATTTATATTTTACAAAAGAAATGGACATGTTACATAGTGGAAGATACAACTGGCTGAGTTTTTTTCCCCCAACTTTTCCAACTCACTTCTCTTGTTTTTCACGCGCACACCATTTAAACTACTAAACCGAACGTTTTTCTTTTTGCAAAAATCATATTAATATATCTTTTTTAAATAAAATAGGAAATAATTAATTAATTAATTATAAGGAAATGTGTCTGCTCCATTTAGCGTGCGCGGGAGGTGAGTTACACATATTTATTAAGCAACATGACGATCGCGACCATGAAGATCAGCACGATCACCGCAGCGCACACCATGCTGCACAACCCATCTTCATCGTCGGCGCTCCGCGCCGTCGTCCGCTGCCGCCGCCGCCGCCGCACGGTGGACAAGCCCGCATTTCCCAGCTCGACGTCGACGAACTCGCCGGTGAGCTGACGTCTTGGCGGTGGGTTCATCGTCTCAGGAGGAACAGGCGGCGCCGATGGCGGCGGCACAGGTGGCGCGTGCGCGCGCAAGCGATCGACGTCGACGACGGTGGAGCTCACGTTTCCCAGCTCGACGTCGACGAACTCGCCGCTGAGCTGACGTTCTGGTGGGAGAGGCGGCGCCGTCGGCGGCGGCACTGGTGGAGGCCCGACGACCTGGCTCGACATCACCGGCAGCCGAGACGACGACGGTGGCGCGCGCGCAGCAACGACCGATGAACCAGCAGGTGAGGTCTAGCTTGCTTACTTATTGCAGCTGTGGCTTTGGATCAGGAGATGGCTTCGTCTCCAACATATAGGGTCTGTTTGGCACAGTTCCAGCTCCAGCTCCACCCCTCCTGGAGCTGGAGTTCAGCCAAACAGTTTCAGCTCCACCAAAACTGGGAGTGGAGCTGGGTGGAGTTCTATCACAAAATGAACTAGAGTTGTGGAGCTGGGTTTAGGCAGCTCCACAACTCCACTCCAGACCCAACTCCTGGAGCTAAATTTAGGAGTTAGAGCTGTACCAAACAGGCCCATATATTCAGATCGACGCTCTGATTCAGAATCCGAATCGGACAACGAGAAATCTTGGACGTGACAGCCAACGGAGTCCGACATCAAGTCGAAGTCGGAGTTGGATACGCGTGTGCGAGAGACGCGATGCAGCTACAAATCGCATCCATGAACGATCCATCCGCATCAACTCTCTCTTCCATCGATCTCTTCTCTGAGCCTTTCGTCGACGTTCGATCGATCCATCGATCGATCTTGTGTTGATGAAGAAGGTGGAGGCGCGGCGGCGGGTGTACGAGTTCCTCGACACGGTCGACGGCGACCCGACGCGCGCGCAGGGGCGCGCCGTGCGCTGCTGCGAGATGGCGCTGAACCTGTACGCGGAGTACGGCGACATGGCGGAGGCGCGGGGCCTCCTCCGCGGCGGCCTGATGCAGCGCGACGCCGACTACGGCAGCATCTACCGGGGCTGGATCGCCATGGAGGCCGACCACGCCGGCAACGTCGACTTCGCCAGGGCGCTCTTCGCCGAGTGGCGCGCGCTGTGCGGGGACAACAACGGCGGCTTCTGGTGCCGCTACATCGCGTTCGAGGCACGCCACGGCGGCGCCCGCCGCGCGCGCGACGTGGCCGAGGCGGCCGTGCAGGCGTGCCCCGGCGAGCCCGCGGTGCACGCCAAGTGCGCCAGGCTGGAGCTCCTGCTCGGCCACGAGGGCCGCGCGTTCGCCGTGCTCGCCCGCGGCCTCGCCGCCTTCGACTCGGACGCCGCCGCGCAGGAGTGGCTGGTGGACCAGGTGCGCGTCTACCGCGACGCGCTGCGGCGGCGCACCCTCGCCGGGCGCCTCCGCTCGTGCTGCCGTGCCGTCATGGCGTCTCGTCGTCCGCGTGGATACGAGAGGCTCCAGACCGTATGATGCGACGACGCGAGTGCGTGTGCGTGTACTCCCAGCATGCTAGTGAACGTATTTGATCTGTATTACTCCCTCCGTTTCGTTTTATCTGACACCGTTGACTTTTTAGCACATGTTTGACCGTTCGTTTTATTCAAAAACTTTTATAAAATATGTAAAACTATATGTATGCATAAAAATATATTTAACAATAAATCAAATGATAGGAAAAGAATTAATAATTATTTAAATTTTTTAAATAAGACGAACGGTTAAACATGTGCTAAAAAGTCAACGGTGTCAAATAAAACGAAACGGAGGGAGTAGTATTTTGCATGTTTGTTTCTTCCTGGAATTCTGATAAATTAGATTCTGCTTGGATGTAATTCTCTAAACTGTACTCCCTCTGTCCCAATAAAACAAGATTCCTAGCTTCCCAATGCATAATTAGCAGCAGCAACAAAGGTCAGAAATACCCTCAACAAGTACATCCATTAATAAAGTTTACTAGTTGAAAGAGGAGAGAGATTAAGCATTTCTAGTGTGAATGGGAGGCAAAAGTGGCAGCAACTTTCAATGTTTCTTGTTTTTTGCGCAGGAATCGATTTATACTGGGACAACTTCTCCTCTCCATAGATCGTCTTTTTTGGGGACGGAAGGAGTATCCTATTATCGAATGCTTGCTGCTCCCCCAGAGTTGTTCAAACAGAGAGAGTATGGACGCGGCTCCTCTAACTTATCACCGACATATGGGCCCACATGTCAGTGACAGTGTCCCTCTGTCTTAAAGTTAGAGGAGCTCCTTCCGAGAGAGTATGGGATATCGAAAAGGAGACGTGTGGTTCTCCATCTGGCAGGGTTGGGGGTGTTTGGATCCACGGACTAAATAATCCCTGTCACATTAGATATTTAGGCATTAATTTAAAGCATGAAACATAGACTACTTGCAAAACTCGAGACACATTTTTAAGTCTAATTATTTTATAATTAGCACAAGTTTACTGTAGCATCATATAGGGTAATCATGGATTAATTAGTCTCAATAGATTCGTGTCACGAATTAGTCCAGGGTTTATGGTATGTGTTTTGTTATTAGTTTACGTTTAATACTTCTAATCAGTTTCTAAACATCCGATGTGACAGGGACTAAAACTTTTTAGCCCATCCAAACAGGACCAGACTAATTGCGCCATGATTTGACAATGTGGTGCTATATTAAACATTTGCTAATGACAGATTAATTAGACTTAATAAATTCGTCTCGCAATTTCCTAGTGGAATCTATAATTTATTTTTTTATTAAACTATGTTTAATACTTTAAATGTGTGTCTGTATATCATATGTGTAGTTCCCAAAAACTTTTCGCAAAAACATCACATCGAATCTTTGTACACATGTATGGAGCATTAAATATAGATAAAAATAAAAACTAATTGCACAGTTTGCATGTAAATCGTAAGACGAATCTTTTGAGCCTAATAAATCTATGATTAGCCATAAGTGCTATAGTAACCCACATGTGCTAATGACGTCTTAATTAGGCTCAAAATATTCATCCCGTGGTTTCCAGACGAGTTATAAAACTAGTTTTTTTCATTCGTATCAAAAACAACTTTCAACATCCGATCAAACGTTCAATGTGACACCCAAAAATTTACATTTCACCATTTCACCGACTGCCTTCGTTGAGCCGTGAAAAGGGGACGCAGGCACGCACCTCCTCTGACAAGGGACGTGGAGCCTGACAGGTGGGGCCTACATCATGGGCTATGGCCCACGTCCCTCGGAAAGGAGCCTCATCCGTGAAGAGGACGGTTCGTTCCTCCTTCCATTTGACCTAAACCCCAAACGCCCTCTGATTGCGGTGCGGAGGGACATCAGATGGCGGCCTCCAACACCACCAAGAAGGGCGGCGGCGGCGGCGGCCCGGCGATCGGCATCGACCTCGGGACGACCTACTCGTGCGTGGCCGTGAGGCGGCGCTACCGCAGCGAGGCCATCACCAACGACCAGGGCAACCGCATCACCCCCTCCTGCGTCGCCTTCACCGCCGCCGACCGGTTCGTCGGCGACGCCGCCGAGAATCAGGCCGCGCTCAACCCCACCAACACCATCTTCGGTCAGAAAAACATTCACTCCTTTATACTGCTATGCTAGCTTCTTGTTATTTTTCTTCCATCTTCCAAGAACTAGCACGAACTAGTACTGCTATGTGCAGGGCCTCTGAATTTCTCTCGCTGCCTGTTCATGCTTCTGCGGTTTTTTTTTTACCTTTTGTTAATGGAATGCTCCGGCCAAGAAAAACCTTCCTTTTAAACTAAGGTTGTGTTTGGTTTGGTGGATGAGGTTGGATGTGAGATGCCCGTGCAGATTTTTCATATGTTCGATTAATTTGTGGGCTTGCAAAAGATATGGCGGCCGAAAAAGAATTACTACCTGAATATACCAGATGAATGGATCTGGCTGATTTTTTTTCCAAATTATTAGTATTGCTTATATTGTACACACATCTACTCGATCCACTTCAAAACCAGGCCTATTTTGATTTCGGTCATTTCGGTTCTTCCAAAATTCCTGAAATTTCGGTCTTTTCGGCACTTCTTTGGTCAGAAATTTTAAAAGAGGGTGTGTTTAGTTCACGCCGAAATTGGAAGTTTAGTTGAAATTGAAATGATACGATGGAAAAGTTGAAAGTTTGTGTGTGTACAAAAGTTTTGATGTGATGGAAAAATTGAAAGTTTGAAGAAAAAATTTGGATCTAAACTCGGCCAAAGTTTAACTGAATTTGACTAATTGACCAAAAATAGCTCCTATCTTTTCTATACTATAAACATTATAAATTACTGGAACTAGGCTATTTATGTTTCACTCAATTGCTTAACATGACTTAAATTATTGATTTATGTTTCACCCAAATTCTTAACATGACTTGAATTATTGCAGAAGTGAAGCGACTGATCGGCCGCCGGTTCAGCGATAAGTCTGTACAAGAGGACATCAAGCTTTGGCCTTTCAAAGTCATTGCTGGCCGTGACGACCGGCCAACGATCGTGGTCCGCCATGAGGGCAAGGAGAAGCAGTTCGTCCCCGAGGAGATCTCCGCCATGGTGCTCTCCAAGCTGAGGGACGCCGCCGTGGCCTACCTCGGCGAGCCGGTCACGGACGCCGTCATCACCGTCCCCGTCTACTTCAACAACGCCCAGCGCGAGGCCACCCTCGACGCCGCCACCATCGCTGGCCTCAACGTCATGCGCATCATCAACGAGCCCTCCGCCGCCGCCCTCGCCTATGGCCTCGACAAGATGCCGCCGGCCAGCGGCGGTGCAGGGAGGATGGTGCTCATCTTTGATCTTGGTGGCGGCACCCTGGATGTCTCCCTCCTTAACATTGGTCGTCCGGGCAACAACAACAGCAGCGACAGCGGCAGCTTCGAGTTCGAGGTGAAGGCCGTCGCCGGCGACACTCACCTCGGCGGCGCCGACTTCAACAACGCGATTGTGAAGCACTGCATCAACGAGTTCATCAGGAAGCACGGCGTGGCAGCAGAAGGCATCTGGAGCAACCAGAAGGCGATCAGGAGGCTGAGGACCGCGTGCGAGAGAGCCAAGAGGATGCTGTCTTTCACGACGCTTGCCAGCATCGAGGTCGACTCGCTTCACGACGGCATCGACTTCTGCGGCAAGATGAGCCGGTCCCGGTTCGAGGAGCTGAACAAGGAGCTCTTCGGCAAGTGCGTCAAGGCCGTGAAGAAGTGCCTCGAGGACGCCAAGATGGACAAGAACGCCGTGGACGACGTCGTGCTCGTGGGCGGCTCCAGCCGCATCCCCAAGCTGCAGAGCATGATCCACGACTTCTTCGACGAGAAAAAGCTCCGCAGGAACGTCAACCCCGACGAGGCCGTCGCGTACGGCGCCGCCATCCAGGCCTCCGTCCTCAACGGCGACGCCGACGAAGCCGACGACAAGAAGCAGGTGATGATCCTGCGCGACATCACGCCCCTCTCGCTGGGGATCGAGGTCGGTCTCGATCACACGATGAGCGTCGTGATCCCGAGGAACACCTTCATCCCGACCAAGAACGTGCGGCGTTACTCCACCATATTCGACAATCAGATCGCCGTGAGCATCAATGTGTTCGAAGGAGAGAGCGCGAGCATCCTCCGCAACAACCTGCTCGGCAAGTTTGTGCTGTCCGGCATCCTCCCGGCGCCCAGGGGAGTGCCCCAGATCGACGTCACGTTCGAGTTCGACGCCAATGGCGTCCTGCACGTGTCCGCGAAGGACATGGGCACTGGGAGCAAGAACAACATCGCCATTACCAACCACAGCGGCCGGCTGAAGAAGGAGGACGTCGAACGCATGGCGCGGGAGGCCAGGAGCTACAACAGGACCAGATCATCTCTAGCGTAAGTAAATCATACTCCCTCCGTTTCACAATGTAAGTCATTCTAACATTTTTTATATTCATATTGATGCTAATGAATCTAAACATATATATCTATCTAGATTCATTAATATTAATATGAATGTGGAAATTGCTAGAATGACTTATATTATGAAACGGAGGAAGTACATTATTATTGTTGTCTTGGTTTGGTTTTAATTTAAGCAAATCATACTAGTGCTGTCTGTGACTTTTTGGTTTGGCAAATCATCTCTATGTTTGTATCTGCAGGATAACTTCTGGGAACCTGGTGATCTTTCAATGATGTTCTGCTTCTGCACCTGCTTGCTGGATGTCTTACATCTGCCCATCGAACTGATTTCAATGACGGGGAAAAGTTTGTGCTACTAAATTTTTTTGCTAAAACTAATCTAGGTCTAGTGACTACTTATCTAAATGAGCTAATGCGGAAGATGATGGCATACTGACGTGTGTTTGATGGAGCCATAATTAATCTTAAGTCGCATTTGGCGTTTGTAGATTGTAGTCGTAGCAGAAATAGCCAGGAACTGGCATGCGCAAAATATATAGGCAGCTTCGCTGGTCGGGTAGGTGCAGGGCGCCGGTGATGCAGAACATCGGCAAGATTGAGGGCGCAGCAACTGAACACCGGCGATAAGATGATCAAACTCACCAACGCTATTAGTGTATTAGTGTTTTGAGGAGTGGAGGAAATATGTGTGTTTCTCAACCCACACGAGCCATGTTTTGTTTCTCCCGTTTTATAGTGCTAGGGAGTGATAGGCGGCGGCTCCATTATATTTCGTTGACAGTTTAGCCACATGTGATCTGATCACAAAGTAGGATCAAGTTTGAACTTTTATTCGTTTACTTAAATGATCTTTTATTCGTTTACTGAAATGAGTCAAATACAAGTCCACTGTTCATAGTCAAAGATAACAAAAGGTCGTAAATTAACTTACAGCACAACTTTGTGAGTAATGATATATATATATATATACCACGTCACAAGTCGAGCTAGCTCATTAACATTTTTTTGAGTCCAGCCGAGTCGAGTGAAGTTGGACAGTGTGGCGAGTCATTAACATTTTTATGAGTGGAGCCGAGTCGAGAGAGGTTGGACAGTGTGGCGAGGTCGTTCACTAGTGGTTGATTTCACACGAGCTGTTCCCTACTTAATTTTCCTCTCTCACTACAGATATATTCCTTGGTACTCCCTACGATCCAAAATGTAACAACTTTTGGCTATTAATATGGACACGTATGCCCAGATTCATAGTAAAAAATTGTTATATTTTGGAACGGATGTAGTATGTTCTTCCATCGTCTCTCGTGTGTCAATACAATCGAGGTAGCAATGATTGGTATGTTTCGACTTTCGACCGCCGCCATGGCCTCAATGCTACGCTGCCACTCACGGCCTCACTGCCTTGGTGCTCACCAAAACACCGCACCCCTCTAGAAGACGGCGCCGGTCAGCCCTGCTAGACTAGCCTCTCCATCCACTCCTCACTTCCCACTCCCGTCTGCACAAGCCTAGGATGTTGTGGCATTTCCCACCTCCCCTCATGTTCTCCATCTTCAGTAGCTCACTTCATTGGGTTTGTCGCTGCCGTCCGCACCTCCTAACCCGATGGTCTCATTTGCCCCCACCGCTGGCCCTACCCATCCCCGGTCTACATCCTCACAGCACCTACGGTGCCCCCCACTACCTTGCCACCCACCCATCGCTGCTGGGTTGACCGCCACCCACGGTCATCTCTCTAGTGCTAGGGACACCCTCCTCTTCCACCTCCAAAGCCCCTCTCCTATCCTGAAACCCTAAATTATAACCTCTTCATGTGATGCCAACGACGGAGAAGAGGACTTCACCGTTGCCAAAAAAAAGAGGACCTAGCCATTGCTGCAGCCACCGTCAGGAAGGTCACCGTCACCGGTGTGTTCATCCGCACTTTCTTCCTCCTTACCCAAAACTAGGATGGTAGGTTGAAGGTTCACCTGAAACCTAGCAAACATATAAGTCATGTTTAAAAATTCTGTAATTATAAAATAAGTTACAATGAAATAAATGGTAATTAGACAATATTTTAATAACATGAATGGTTAAACATAGGTTCAAAAGTCAATGGTGTCACATATGAAGAAACAAAAGAGAGCATTAGATCTTCACCATTGTAATTTGGTTCCATCATGATCTATCAATGAAAATATTTTTTTTTCTGCGATCAACATGGTGGAGTAATTTCAACTTGGCCTCTTTTCAATACACTTTTTTTAAAACATTGAACAAATGTAGATGCTCACAACACGCACAAGCTCACCCCGATAAACACGTGCACAGCCGCACACACTGCCCCTGTAAACACCTATGTAAGACATTTGCACTCGAATTCATTGTATTTATAAATTTTCTTAATTTCTACGTGAACTCACAGATTAACCACAACGGGTTTATACTTTTTTTATCCTATTAAATGAAATTTCAAAGACGGGAGAGTTCTCTATTAATAGACTGATGAAATATATACCCTCTCCATTTTATAATATAAGGGATTTTGCCTCTTATTATCCCACAATATATAGGATTTTGATGTACTACTTGTTATATCCATTAACTCCAATTCAAATTTCTACCTACTTTAACCTCGCAATTACCTACTCACCACAAGCAAATATCATTTAATAGAGGTATTATAGTATTTTGTTACTAACCTTAATCTCACCCAAAAGGGAATAATCCCTTATATTATGGGATGGAGGGAGTAATAAATAGAAAATTCAAGAGCAAAAGCCACCGAAATATATATTAATTGATAGATTTCTCAACTTCATTGAGCCGTGGAAAGGGGACGCAGCTCCTCTGACAAGGGACGTGGAGCCCTCACAGGTGGGGCCTACATCATGGACTATGGTCCTTGAAGAGGACGGTTCGTTCCTCGTCCCATTTGACCCAAACGCCTCTGATTGCGGAGATCAGACGATGGCGGCCTCCAACACCAGCAAGAAGGGCGGCGGCGGCGACGGCGGCGGTGGCGGAGGCCCGGCGATCGGCATCGACCTCGGGACGACCTACTCGTGCGCGGCGGTGAGGCGGCACAACCGCAGCGAGGTCATCACCAACGACCAGGGCAACCGCATCACCCCCTCCTGCGTCGCCTTCACCGCCGACGACAGGTTCGTCGGCGACGCCGCCGAGAATCAGGCCGCCCTCAACCCCACCAACACCATCTTCGGTCATAAAACACACTCACTCGTTTATACTGCTATGCTAGCTTCTTGTTATTTTTCTTCCATCTTCCAAGGACCAGCATGAACTTGTACTGCTATGTGCAAGGGCCTCTGAATTTCTCTCGCTGCCTGTTCATACTTCTTCGTGTGTGTTTTTTTCCTGTTAATGGTGTTCATATTTCCTGTTCATATATACTCCGGCCAAGAAAACCCTTCCCTATAAATTTAGGGGTTTATTTGGTTTGTTGGACTTGGATGTGAGATGTCCCTTCAGATTTTTGACATGTTCGATTAATTTGTGAACAAGCAAGGGATATGACGGCCAAATAAAAATATATATTACCTCAATACACTTGATGAGTGGATCTGGCTGATTTGGTTACCGCATTATTATTGCTTACTACTCCCTCTGTCCCAAAAAAAAGGCAAACCCTGGGTTTGCGTGTCCAACTTTGTCTTATAAGAAATTTTTTTATAATTCATATTTTTATTGTTGTTAGATGATAAAACATGATTAATATTTTATGCGTGACTTGTCTTTTTAATTTTTTTTTTAAAATTTTTTCAAATAAGACGTACGGTCAAACGTTGGGCACGGAAACCAGGGTTTGTCTTTTTTGGGACGGAGGGAGTACCTTGTAAGCACATCTGCTCCACTTCACATCTATAGGGCTGTGTTTAGTTGAGGGGGAAGTTTGGATTTTGGTTGAAATTGAAGATGATGTGACTAAAAAGTTGTGTGTATATGACAGGTTGATGTGATGGAAAATGACTGAAGTTTGGATCCAAATTTTGGATCTAAACACAGCCCTAGGGGATTTGTGTATACAAAGTCGTACTACATTTTCACATATGCAACTACATTTTGTACCATACAATAAATACTTCCTCCATATTTTAATGTATAACGCCGTTGACTTTTTAACAAACGTTTAACCTTTTATCTTATTTAAAAAAATTATTTGATTATCATTTATTTTATTGTGACTTGATTTATCATCAATGTTCTTTAAGCATGAAATAAGTATTTTTGTATTTGTATAAAAAATTTGAATAAGACGAATGGTCAAACGTTGGTTAAAAAGTCAACGGCGTCATACATTAAAATACGGAGGGAGTATTATACTTAAATTATTACTGGAACTAGGCTATTTTTGTTTCACCCAATTGCTTACATGACTTAAAATTATTGCAGAAGCGAAGCGACTGATTGGCCGCCGGTTCAGCAGCAAATCTGTACAAGAGGACATCAAGCTTTGGCCGTTCAAAGTCGTCGCTGGCCCTGACGACAGGCCGACGATCGTGGTGCAGCATGAGGGCAAGGAGATGCAGTTTGTGCCCGAGGAGATCTCCGCCATGGTGCTCTCCAAGTTGAGGGACGCCGCCGTGGCCTACCTCGGCGAGCCGGTCACGGACGCCGTCATCACCGTCCCCGTCTACTTCAACAACGCCCAGCGCGAGGCCACCCTCGACGCCGCCGCCATCGCCGGCCTCAATGTCATGCGCATCATCAACGAGCCCTCCGCCGCCGCCATCGCCTACGGCCTCGACAAGATGCCGCCACCGCCGGCCAGCGGCGGCGGTGCAGCTGTGAGGACGGTGCTCATCTTTGATCTCGGTGGCGGAACCCTCGACGTCTCCCTCCTTAACATTGGTCGTCCGGGCAACAACAGCAACAGCGGCGATAATGGCAGCAGCTTCGAGTTCGAGGTGAAGGCCGTCGCCGGCGACACTCACCTCGGCGGCGCCGACTTCGACAACGCGATGGTGAACCACTGCATCAACGAGTTCATCCGGAAGCACGACGTGGCGGAAGAAGGCATCAGGAGCAACCAGAAGGCGATCCGGAGGCTGAGGTCGGCGTGCGAGAGAGCCAAGAGGTTGCTGTCCTTCACGGCGCAGACCAGCATCGAGGTCGACTCGCTCCACGACGGCGTCGACTTCTGCGCCAAGATGAGCCGGTCCCGGTTCGAGGAGCTCAACAAGGAGCTCTTCGGCAGGTGCGTCAAGGCCGTGGAGAAGTGCCTCGAGGACGCCAAGATGGACAAGGGCGACGTGCACGACGTCGTGCTCGTGGGAGGCTCCAGCCGCATCCCCAAGCTGCAGAGCATGCTCCACGACTTCTTCCAGGAGAAGAAGCTCCGCCACAGCGTCAACCCCGACGAGGCCGTCGCGTACGGCGCCGCCATCCAGGCCTCCATCCTCAACGGCGACGCCGACGACGCCGACGACAAGAAGAAGGCGATGATCCTGCGCGACATCACGCCCTTCTCGCTAGGTGTCGAGATCTATGATGAAAATGATCATACAATGAGCGTCGTGATCCCGAGGAACACCTTCATTCCGGCCAAGAACACGCAGCGCTACACCACCCACCGCGACATGCAGACCAGCGTGAGCATCAAGGTGTTCGAGGGCGAGAGCGCGAGCACCAAGAACAACTACCTGCTCGGCGAGTTCGTTCTCTCCGGCATCACCCCGGCGCCCGCCGGCGTAGCCCGTATCGATGAAACCTTAGAGATTGATGCCAACGGCGTCCTGCACGTGTCCGCGGAGGACATGGGCACGGGGAGGAAGAACAGCATCACCATCACCAACCACAGTGGGCGGCTGAAGAAGGAGGACGTCGAGCGCATGTCGCGGGAGGCCAGGAGCTACAACCGGAAGCGCAAGCGCACCAGATCATCGCTCCAGTAAGTGTAGTAAAAAAATCATGTCATATGTACTACCGTCTTGGTTTAATTTTTGTTTGCAAAATGCATCCATCCATGCTTTGTGCTAATTCTGTCACGGTAACTTTTGGTTTGGCATGTATGTACGTATGCATGTATTTCTGCAGGATAAATTCTGGGAACCTGGTGATCTTGGAGTAATCTTCTGCACCCTGCTAGCTGGATGTCTTTGCATCTGGCAATCGAACTAATTAATTAATTCAAGTGTTGGGGAACAATTTGTGTTACTGTAGTAATTTTTTTTTGCTAAACTTAATCTTGTTCTATATACATGATTACCTAATTCAGCTTATGTGGAAGATGATGTTATACTGATGTGTGTTAATTTGATGGAGCCGTAAGAGCCGCTTTAGTTGCAATTGGCATTGTAGTTGTAGATGCTGCAGTTGCAGCAACAGCCTGCAACCGGCATGGAACTATTTTGGAGCCCGGCGGTGCTCGTGTTTGATCTCGGTGGCGGCACCTTCGATGTTTCCCTCCTTAACATCGATCCGGGGGTCAACACTGACATGGGCCGGCTCTTCGAGGTGAAGGCCACCGCCGGTGACACTCACCTCGGTGGAGCGGATTTCGACAACGATTTGGTGAATTACTCCCTGCGAGAGTTCAAGCGGAAACATGGGTCGATCGATGGACATTGAAAGCAACCAGAAGGCGTTAAGGAGATTGAGGACAGCCTGTGAGAGAGCGAAGAGGATGCTGTCAACAATCTGCTTGGCGAGTTCCGACTATTCGGCATCCCCCCGGCGCCTATGGGCGTACCCCATTTCGATGTCACCTTCGACATTGATGGCAATGGCGTCTTGAACGTTACTGCAGAGGACAAGGACACCGGGCGGAAGAACAACATCATCATCAGTAACCGCAGTGGCAGGCTGAACAAGGAGGAAATCGAGCGGATGGCTCTGGAGGCCGAGAGGTACAAGATGAAGCGGATCAAGCAACTGCAAATCGAAGCTGTCCAAGGGAACTAAACGTGGACTCTGCAACGTCCTAGCTGCCATGATCCAAGAATTATCATTGCCATTGCCATCCTAATGCAATGGGCGGCTACAGGGATTTGATTAATTATTGGGTATTTGCACTGGATGTGCTTTAATTAATGCTAGTATTGTTATGCAACTTCTGGGCTTCTGGCTTGGCACATGTACGGCCATAGCCTAGCTAATGCTTTTATTAATTGTTTCTGGAACACTGTTTTAATTCGTGATATTAGAGTAATCTTCTGTTCTATATCTGTTTTCTTGTATTGCATTTGCGGAACTTTGGGAGTAGTAGTTTCAGTTTAACTTCCACAGATGCAGTTGTCTGATGTCAAAATGGCTTAATTAAAGTGATTTTTAGTTCTTGTATCCCTAAAAGAAAGGATGCTGATTGCATGATAGAAAAACCCATATAGAAATTAACCAGAACTGGAACACGACTCAAACTAGAATTCATAGTGCAGACACATTACACGAATATGCCTTTTGTATCATGTGTAGAATTTTTTCTTTTTGAAATGACCCACAGAAGACAGTGCAAAGTTTCATATTGATATAGCAAGAATAAATGGGAAAATATGTAGTGCAAACCACATATGTAGTGGAAACTTGGAAACTACCGTTGGATCGAGAAATGGACGTCCGAGATTCGTCCATGTCACCATGAGTTAAAATTTAAGTCCCAGAAAAATTTTAACTCATGAGTGAATCTGCGAGTTAAATTTTAACTCATGTTGACGTGGACGAATCTCGGACGTCCATTTCTCGATCCAACGGTAGTTTCCAAGTTTCCACTACATATGTGGTTTGCACTACATATTTTCCCAGAATAAAATTACAAGATTACAATCTTGAAAGGCTGTAACTAGGAAAAAAACAAACACACCACACACCACCTCTGCATGGTAGGAGAGGCACTAGCACCAAGTTAACCACCGCTAAGCGTGAGTGCGTGAACAATCATTGCTAGACCTACTTGGGGTCGACGCAAACGCCCTGCCAAACACTGAAACCTCAAAGGAGATCAACAACAAGATCCTAATCATCCTCATATAGAAGGGTTAAGGTGGGAGAGGGCGCGAGAGAAGAAGATCTGGTCATCCCCCACATTAACATATGACAACCATAGAGAAACCGATGAGGACCAAACTAAGAGAAGGTGGCAAAGGCAGGAAGCAAAGACCTCATGTGAGAAGGTGGCAAAGGCAAGAAGAAAAGACCTCGTGGGCACTAAATCGATTGAGTCATCTGTTCCTTTACCCAAGAAAAAGTATTTCTATTTTCCATGTCCAATCACAGCTCCTGGAATTTCTATAATAAATTAGATAGGTAGCTAAGGTAATCTAGTTCCCTATACACAAATCTGTTGTCATTCTACTGCAACAGTTGTACTGGAATGATGAATACCTTGAGCAAGTAGAAATAGAAAAAAATAATTTTGCTAAGATGGAAAAAGGCTTTCTTTCTAAAGGAAAAATGATGCTAATATATCTATCTATCTATTAACTTATTAAAGTAATAGAAAAAGGAGCCTCCACGTTCGCTCTCATGGTTTAGAAATTACCACGTTAATCGAAGAAAATAAAAAAAATAAAAAAGACAAACGGAGAAGGATACGGTAATCAGATGAAAACAAAAATTAAAGAAAGCAAACGGACACGGCCGGATTCATGAAACTGTCAAACATTAATAAGAAACAGACTATGATCATAGTGTATTAGTGTGGAAACGGACAAGAGTTTAGAGTACATATAAAAAATGTTACAATTTAAAATATCTGAAATACAAAATTAAAAATTAAAAATTAAAAAAAGAGAGTCTAGATAGAAATACAATTTAGATTAATCTGAAGTTTTGATAAGAAAAATAAAAAGTGCTAATATTGAGACAAGAGTATAGAAAAACAATTTAGGAGAAAAAACTGAATTTTGAATTGAAATTAAAAATAGTTCATATTGAGAGAAGAGCTATGTAGAAATAAAATTTAGAAACATCTAAGATTTGGATTAAAGATAAATATTATGGAGAAAGAGTACAGTTTAGAAATACCTGAAACTCGGATTAAGAACAAACAGTATGAAGAGAAAAAGTTCAAGTAAAAATAAAATTTCAAATATCTTAAATTCAAGTTAAAAAATACTATTGAGAAAAGAGTTCACATACGACTACAATTAACAAAAAAAACTATGGTCTATTTATAAATAAATTATAAAATATCTATAATTAGGGAAAATAAATAAATTAGGGAAAATAAATAAAATTAGTAGAAATACATTTAAGAAAATTCTGAATTTAGGATTAAAAATTACAAAATAAATGATATTAGAGGTAGGAGTCCATGTAGAAATACAATTTAGAAACATCTAAAAATTCATATAGAAAATACATTATATGAAAAGAAAGAGTCCACATAGAAAAATCGGATTGAAGATAAATATTATAGAGAAGAGTTTGGGAGTAGTGCTGTTTAAAAATATTTTAAAATCGGATTAAAAATAAATAATATTGAGGGAAAGTGTCCCGGTACAAATACAATTTATAAATATCATAAATTCAGACTAAAATAAATATTATTGAGAAAACATTTTATCAAGAAGTCGATTTAGAACTATTTTAAATGTGGATTAAAATAAATAATATTGATAGAAGAGTCCACATTTTTACAATTGAAGGCTAGCTATTCTATTAGCCCCATATTAATACTACCAGATAAAAACTAGCTTAAAAAATCTCACGTTAATTGAAAATTTTTAGGATACACATGATAGCTAAAAATATAGAAAATAGCTTGATCATCCAATTTACATTAAAAAAACATAAAACTAGCAGATGAGATTGGATCTTAACCCAATACCAATGTGACGCACGAGTTTGTAAAGTTCAAACTGCGAGCAACATTAACAAAATAAAATATATAGAAACCCAGTTTCAGTAACGATAGACATTTTTTTTATTTAAAACAGGTTATGAACTTTTATGAATATACAATACAACATGCCATCTTTAGTAGGTGGAAAAATGTCATTTGAGGTAGTGGAAACAATATTTCTATATAAAAACAACTACCACCACTAAACTAAATAAAGATAAACAAGTACGCCATAGAATTTATATATCTTTGATTTATTGTATTATTACAAGAATACTAAAAAATTCATCGTGTTTTTTTTATGGACATGGGAATTACAATATTAATCGTTTGTTATTTTAAATATCTGTTCACAATAGAGTATGAAGTATATACGTTATTTTACGAGGATATTTTATAGCGATGCTAGCCGCGCAATCTGTGCGGGCCACTTTGCTAGTTATATTATTAAAGGAATAGAAAAAGGAGCCTCCACGTTCGCTCTCATGGCCTAGAAATTCTCACATTAATCGGAGAAAAAGAAAAATCAGGGTTCATAAAGAAATACAATTTAGAAATAGCTGAAATTCGGAATTAAAAAATAATGAATATTAGAAGAGGAGACTAGAGTCCATATAGAAATACAATTAGGAATAACTAAAATTTGGAATTAAAAATAAAGGAATATTATAAGTGGAGTATAGAGTCCATATAGAAATACAATTAGGAAATAGTTGAAATTTGGAATTAAAAAATAAGGATTATTAGAAGAGAAGACTAGAGTCCATATAGAAATACAATTTAAAAATAGTTGAAATTCGGAGTTAAAAAATAAGGAATATTAGAAGAGGAGACTAGAGTCCATATAGAAATATAATTAGGAAATAACTGAAATTAGAAATAAGGAATATTAGAAGTACAATATAGATTCCATATAGAAATACAATTAGGAAATAACTAAAATTCGGAATGAAAAATAAGGAATATTAGAAATAGAGTATAGAGTCCATATAGAAATACAATTAAAAAAAATAGAAATTCGGAATTAAAAAATAAGGAATATTAGAAGTAGAATATAGAGTCCATATAGAAATATAATTTAGAAATAGCTGAAATTCGGAATTAAAAAATAAGGAATATTAGAAGAGGAGACTAGAGTCCATATAGAAATACAATTTAGAAATAGCTGAAATTCGGAATTAAAAAATAAAGAATATTAGAATAGGAGACTAGAGTCCATATTGAAATCCAATCTAGAAATAGCTGAAATTCGAAATTAAAAATAAGGAATATTAGAAGTAGAGTAT